TACTGACAGAGAATTGGTATGAAGAGCATGAAAGTGAGCTAGAACACATGGAGTGGCCTTCCTAATCTCAAGATATCAATATTATTGAACATTTGTGATGCATTTTGGAGCAACAAGTTAGGAGCCGCTATCCTTCACCGTCGTGCCGTAAAGAGCTGGAGAAGGTTTTAATGGAAGAATGACTGAAAATTCATCTGGATGAAGTCAGGAATCTGTATGATTCCATTCCTAGACGTATTAAAGCTGTCTGTGAGGCTAAAGAAGGACCAACTCCATATTAAATAAATTTTCTTTGAATTTAACAAGTGTTTCAATTATTTTATCCAACCCCTGTATCTGATAAGTTTAGCTAAGTCTTTCCCAAGGCTCAAATTGTGGGGAATCAATCTCAAGTGAGACCGTGATGATGATCAGACACACAACACCAGTCTAACGGTTCAATTATAAACTGATCTATAGGACTTGTGTTTATGTTTTTATTTGTACCATGTCCCTTCCTGATGTGGATAATTACTGCTCTCCTCATCTTCGAATCCTTTGTAGCGTTTCTAAGCCTTGTCTTTTCACTTCCAATCCTTATTCTGCCATTCATTTACAAAATCTTGTTAAGTAGGTCATCAGCTTTCTCCCTCTGTTCTCTTTCCTTTAATATATCTTATCAGTGTCAAATTCTCCAAGCCCTCTTTCCTCATTATGTGGCATAGAAATTTAAACTGTCTCTTTCTTAATCTAATTGTAAATGTCCTTTTTCTTTTCATTTTCCTTAAAGCTTTATAGTCATTCACATGTTCAGTTCATGGTATTCTCAGCATCCTTTTGTAGAACGACATTTCTGTTGCCTCAAGTCTCTTCTTCATCTGTGAGGAGATGGTTCAGCATTCATTGGCATACAGGAAGACCGATATTACATAATTGTTCAGCACTCTTTTATTTGTTTGTTACCAAATTTTCCTGTCTCTTAATACTTTGTTTAGCTTTTGGAAGGCATTATTCACTATTCCAATTCGCCTTCCTATTTCGGTGTCACTTTTTACGTTCTCTGTCAAAACAATTCTTAGACATTTAAATTTTCATAATTTCTTAAATTATTTTTATCCTCAATTTGTAATTCGCATCTTCGGCCATTCTGTTTGCTGACAACCTTAGATTTTCTCTTCTTAGAATTGATGTTTAGTCCTTTCTTCTCCCTTTCCTTTATTACTTTCTGTAGGAATCCCTGCAGTTTCTTTGCCGTTTCTGCTGTTAACACAGTGTTATCTGCTTATCATTAAGATAGTGTCCGGAAATTATCAGAAATATAAGATGGAATTAAATGTTATAAGCATTTTATTATATTGTTGCTATATTCGTAATAAATTTCCAATTCCGATTAGCTCCCTTATATCGAATTTGCAGAAAAATTCCATAGTTACAACGGATACATTTAAACATTTTAAAATAACACAGAGCGCGTTCGCGCGTGTTTATAAAAATCACAATTACAATAATTTTGTCTTTGTAATTTCCCCCTGAAGATGATCGTAGAAAAGATCGAAAGTACTTGAATTAACAAAAACTATGGCGCTTTCCTTGATGAATTTCATCTTAACATCAAGAAACCGATTAGACAGCTGGAAAGAATCAGTATAAAATGAGTAGACATTATATACGTATGTCAATATTATTCAATAAAACACACACACACACACACATATATATATATATATATATATATATATATATATATATATATATATATATATATATATATAAAGCGTATACACGCACATATATGTATATGTGTGTCTGTGTGTATGTTTTCTGCGTGTATGCTCGCAGTCAGTATGGTTTAAGGATATGTGAACATTATTACAATTCCTCCTTCGTATGCAATCATATAAAAGAAAATAAAGGTGAAGGTTAATGCTCTAATTTGGTGCATATGTCATACCAGAGGCCACTGTATCCGAATGACCGACGATAATGGTTTCCGATTTCTCTGAAACATGTCTCGAATCACAGGAATCAAATGGAACCCGGTTGGCATGGAATCTTGACAGCCGACGGTGAGAGCACGTCGTTTCAATTCGCTAATAAGATTTGAGAAGAGCTTTCATGTGGCCAGATTCGGAATGCCACTTCTCATTTTAAAAGCCGGAACCGAATACAGTTCTAGGCACCCCAAATATAAATAAATAGCAAAGTCTATTCTTTGGAACTGGTTAGGTTCAAATTGGATCAAGAATTCCTATGATATAATAAGTTTCGCTATATACATAGCAAGTGGTCCTTACAAGCCACGAAACGTTTTAATACTTTTTTTTCTGAAATATACTTTCACCTTATAATTCCACCGGAGAATATCAGGACAGACTGGGACCTATAGCCTTGGATTGCTACCTGTCAAGAAGGACAACTCTGAATTCAAAACCTCAAACTATAGGTTAAATAGTCTCGCCAACCCTCTTGGGCGTAGTACTGTAATGGTTAATATGCTAGCAATAAGGAGACCGAACAACGGGATATAATACTATAAAACACTTTATTTTCACTTTATTTACAAGCGAGAATTTGGCTCGAATGACTGACCCCGAGATGTATTTACTTTCATTTAAATAAATATTGGGCGAGTCTATTTGACTTCGGAATACCTAACAGTGAGTACGGCTACACTTCTAAAGCCATGGTTGATCAGAAACTGAGAAAGTTCTGGATTTTGACTTGGATACATTGATCTTTTCTTTCGCTCGTCTTATATTTTTTGTCGATTAGTACAGTCGGTCTCGTTGTGCGAGTGGCTGAACAGTTACTGGCACTCGATTGTAAAAAAGAAAAAAAAACCCTTCTCCTCTTCTGACAATCCCTCCGGGAGAATTATCACGGAGAGCCCCTCACAATTTCTACCTACTGGGTTGATCAGCTCAGACAAATTCACCTGTACAGCCACACAAGTAAGCAATGTTGTCTTCATAGAAGAAAAGAGTTATTTTCGTAAATAGAAACTCAAAAAGCAAACGATGAAATTAGTGTGGCACAAGGCCAAATAGTTAGAAAAGGAGCGCCCCATGAGCAGGTGTCGCTGTACAGATGTGCAGGTGAGCAGATCCCTTTACGTATCTGGATTTAAAGCCAGAGATTCATTTATTCATGCATAGCGTGTCTTGGGTAAGTAGTCTCGGTTACATGCAAATGTATCAGCCTCTGTAAAAGAATCTTCCAGTGACGTTGCCAGCCATTTTCCCCTCTGTCTTCCTCTTCTTCTTCTTCCTCTTCTTCTTCTTCTTCTTCTTCTTCTTCTGCTAAAACCAGTGTATTACAGATTATCTTTGACTAATATTCTGACAATGGCTAGTCTGTATTGAAAAAAACTTGAATTCAATATTTTTTTTTTACCTGATCCCAAAACTCAAATTATTTACCCATCAAACTAAGCAGGATGCTTCAAATGAAGCAGTGGTTAGCGAGTTAGTTTAGCTGACCATTACTACTCAGTAGCAAGTTCGATTCTCACTTGGTGTCTCATCTTTGTGACCTTGTGCCAAATTAATACACAATAATAATAACTGATGTAACGTTTACGTACAAACGTGAATAAATCAATACTATAAATAACTACTATGTAGATAAAATAAATAAATAAAATGTCAGTTTGGGTATTATTTCCGCTTTGATATCACGTGACAATGCCAGACACGTGAGTTTAAAAACAGCACCGGATAAAAAAAAAAAAAAACTGCCTCTATTCACTTCTGACCTTCACGCAGCGAATAATGGCATTAAGGTTGGAATTAATTTCAGTGATTTGCTTTCTAATTTTCTGATAGACCCACTGAGACGCACGCGCAAACATACAATTAAAAACATTTTGATGCCAGTCAATTGTTTACCATGTTTGATGCACGCATATCTATCGATACATGACTGACTAAGCAAATTTTTCCCGCAGTAGTTTGCCATTTCTTTCTGCGGTAGACTAGTTGCCATCCAAGGATAGAGAACCCGGTCTGCTTTGCTATTTACCCATAGATGGAGGAAAAGAAGAGGATTCATACCTTTCCCAAGGGTATTCGCACATAAGTGATTGTAATGGATTCGACTGGAATTCGGCTCTCCGATTCCTCAGTCCCAACCGCTATCCATTACTACACCTCTGTATTTTGTTGCCAGTGATACTAAAACGTGGTCAATTTAGTTACGGTTTCTTTCTGTCTTTTGTTTATATTTGGGGTTTTATTTTATTTTTTATTTTTTTTGTACTTCCTTCAATATGCTGACAGCTCAATTGAAATACGTCTTAATATATAACTATTTTAGGGAGAGTTAAAAACGTCCTGCCGGTTATTTATAAAGAAATTTGTACTCTGTTCTTATAATGCAAAGATTTGTTGAGAACCTTCTATGGAAATCTAACGATATGGAATCAGAGAAGCAAATGATAAGTAATCTTAATTTGAGCTTACAAAAAAAAAAGTTCTGAACCACTAGAGACGAGAAAAAAGCGGTCTAAATAATTAGACCTTGAGTGAAACTGATCAAGCATTAAAATAATATCGTTATCCAGTCAGATCTCTACACGAAAATGCGCATCGCTTATAGTTAATCGAATAATTACATCTTCATTTCACTTGTGAATATTAAAGTAACGCTGAGGGCATTACAACCACGACAGCAGTTGACTGCTGTGGTGGTTATAATTCTTATTAATGGTTCTATTACGATTTCCAGAATATCAGTCAGTGGTCTGTTATTTGTCATATTATATTCCCTTCAATCTGCTTATTAAAAAAGTCCCCACACACCCGCCAACACTCCGGTCACTTAATCTACATTCTGTGTGAGAGCGCGTGTGTGTTTGTATTTAAGTTACTATGCATCGTTCGTCCGAGTGGAACAATACGGAAATATTTGTATCAAATGTATAAACTCGTTAGTCGTAGATTCAGTAATTGGAGGTTCTGAATCATTCATTGATCTGGCAGATGCCACGGTATAGTTGCTCAGAGCCAAACGTAGTAAAAGAAATGCTTTTCTCCCAGCGAAGTAAGAACATTTAAGCGAATGTTTAGCATTACTACTGATTCTGCGAAAAAAAATCCAAGTACAGTACAAGAGAAAACGCTCAACCCCCGTTCAAATAAAACATTAAAAGAGAACTCTACCATGTAGCAATAGATAACAAATTCATCTCATTCACTGATATTATTGTACTATGTTCAATCTTTGCTAGCTATCTTACACATATAGATGACTATTTGGATGTTGAAGTAATTGTGGATTTGCCATCGATAGCAATAAACGGCGTTTGCACTTACATAAAGGTTTAGTTTAGATTGCAAATGATAATATTTTAAGTGCATTTTTCTTTTGCGCTACATAATCTTCCTAACAAGATTCACTAGTATTTTGCTTTGTTATCTGTCTATATTTCTGAGATGAGGTATTATGTATATTATTTACATTATTCGGACTATTGTCCTCATCTTTGTTGCCATATTTATTACAACGTTTCGGCCGTTGTACGCTCCGGCCTTCTTCAGCTGGTTGGAATGTCGAACTGAACTCTTTATTTCGCTCACTGGGGTAGACTGTTCTAGTTCCACGTGTCATGTTTTTAATTGATGTCAGTTATCAGTTATCTCCTGTTAATTTCCCTCTGAAATTTCTCCACTGCCTTAGCCGGGTATTGAACTCACACTCTTTGGATCCTGTCACTGGATCTAACTAACGCCTTTATCCACTGTGCCATGTTGCGCTGATTGCCAGGCACATGGGAAAGTCGCTATGTCTATGTCTGAAGTGAGAGCTCCAGCATATTTGACGCAGAACTGGTGCAGGAGACATTTTCGGATTTTTGACTAGTTAATTGGGACTCCATCTTGCCCTGGCATTAATCCTATAGACAGTGAGATATGCCTTGTATTTGAGAAAGATGTTTCACGTATCTCTTACTCAACTGATGGTAAAGAAAGCAGGCAGTTTCGTTGAAAACAGATTAAGAGTTATGGTGAAAGCAAAGGGTAGCCATTTTGAATTCTGAATATATCTAAAATATTGTCAATAAATAAAACAATCTGTAAACTTTCATTAACCAAAACTGAATACTTTATTTTATGATAAAATGATTAATGGGTTAATGCATATGCCTCACCGGTATATATATATATATATATATATATATATATATATATATATATATATATATATATATATATATACACCCAAAAACATAATAGGTAGAAATGTTAAACCCATTAATAATAATAAACGACTTAAGCTCAACATATATTATAAAAATTCAAAACAATTAACCCCATAGTCACTAATAACCCTACAACCAGAGAAATAAATCCTCTACAGAAAACCAGTGTAGTGTATCAATTTAGATGCCAGTTCAGATCTTGTATCTCTGATACTAATAATAAACCCACTACATATATTGGTTTTACTACAACCACACTCTCCCGTAGACTTATCTGTCACCTTTGTGATCTTAATTCTGTTTCTTAGAAAAACATAGCCATGTATATAATATTAGACAAATATTAGTTGATAACACAACAATACTCACACTACATACAGTAAAAAGAACCTTCAGATATTGGAGGCCATCTACATTAAAACAAAGCAACCCACACTCAAAAAAATTACTTTTGAAACTAATCACAACACATTACATTGCATCTAGACATTAGTTCTGTTGTTAATATTTCGGCATCTCGTGTGGTATGACATCATAGAACCGCATCTTGAACTTAGGAACTGCGTCTGCTATTCCGCGACCATTATCGTCGCATAGCAATCTTCTATGTCAACTTAAATAAATATTTTCTTCGATAGTGAACATCTTTGTTTAAATGTCCGTATAACCACTCTGAAGATGGCTCCTGTGAACCAAAAGCTTAGATCAAGGACCAACTTAATAAAAGATATCCAAGTGTTAGACAATTTTTGACCGTTTGATAATCGAGTGTCAAATGCCGACCTTTTAGAAAAATGCAAGATTGGTACCATCGAGACCTTCATAGTGCAATTACAACTACGTTAGACTGACCATGGGGAAGAATGAGTGATGATCGCATACCAAAAGTTTTTTTTCAACAGTGGTCATAGAAATGTTGGTAGACCTTGGCTCAGGTATAAAGATGAACTGAAAAGCAAACTTTCTTGCGTCAACATTCCATTCAAGAACTTTGAAGAGATAGCTATGAAGAGATAAGAGGATCGTTCCAGCTGCCATTCAGAAATAATGCACCATAGAGAAGTAAGCATCAGTCGACTACGTGAAACACGAAAGCAAAATAAGATAGCTAACAATGTTCCTTCTGCATTTGGATATAATTCATACTCATGTACTGTTTGTTGTCTTTTGGGCAATTCTCGAACCGGTAAAAAAAGTCATGTCGTCATCGGCATGAAGTTTGTGGTCGTCGGAACCTCATACTTTGAACTCGACGGTAGAGTCCATTATATATATATATATATATATATATATATATATATATATTCAGTTGTATGAATATGAGTTTGTGAGCCTGGGTTTCACGCTTTTGCAATCATCGACAACCGGAGAAGCGTGAAATCCAGGGTCTGAGACCAATATCCATACAATTGAATATGTTGGCTCTATCACTGATATTGGCCACTTTCCAATAATTACTGCGAATATATATATATATATATATATATATATATATATATATATATATATATATATATATATATATAGTTTGGGATTAATCAAACAGGTCAGAGTAGTCGGGTTTAGTACGATTAATGCATCTGTCAACTCCGTTCGTTTTTTTACCTGTAATATTCGTTTAAAATGCTCGGCGTTTCCTCTCTTTCGTGTGCACATGTAATCGCATCAACGTAAACATCACTTTTGGCCCGATGAAGTCCTAAAGGTCGAAACACGTCGCAGGAAAACTTTTTTTCCAATTTGGAATGTATTTCTCTAAAGTGTGTTCTTAATATATAAAAAATTATATATCGTCTTGACACACACACACACACACACACACACACACACACACACACACAACATACACACACATGTGTAACAATATATATGCTCCTGAAAAATTTATTTCGGTTAAGCTCTCTGGTGGAGGAAGTGCAGGTTTGTAAGCAGTGACTTTTACGGCTATTATAGCAAGACTCTTCGGTAAAGCGAATCGAGTTCTCTCAGTTACTGTGTGTTTATCTAAAAATAAATACGCTTAAATTCACCTTCATCCCTGCTGTGTGCCGACGGCTTAGTGGTAGAATCTTCAACTGACGCCAATTCAGCCTGGTTTCAATCCTAGCTACAGGCAAAACGGACGTCTATCCACACTGATGAGCTGTTATACAGCGAAACAGTCTGTTTGTGGATGACTGTATATATATATATATATATATATATATATATATATATATATATATACATGTATATATATACAAAAGTGATTAATATTTTCGATTTGGAAGTAGATATATAACATAGTCCCACGGGTGGTGTCCACAAAACTGCTTCATATCTGCAATCCATCATTTTGTGACACAAAGCGATGCCATAGTTCCTAAAGTGTGCCATCTATAAAATAGCTGCATAAAAACTTGAAAAGACGATATTAAATTTTATTGAACAATAGTGAAATTCAGTAACGAATATACACTGATAATTCATTAGCAAATGGGGATGACTTCACGGTTTTTGATTCAATACTGTCTCAACTTAAGAAACTATTTGGCATTTTACCATGTAAGGATTTGTGAATTGAAATATACCCAGAATAACATAAATTATGACTGTTATAGAAAAAATTGATCAGGAAACAATTAAATGCTTCGGACCAATCTTTCACACGAACTAGAGGACATCCAATGAGCTATAAAGTGACATATTTCGAAACACTTCAAAAAAGCTTATTGTCACTGAAGTAGCGATTTGCTTATATTGAGAATTACTTGTGAAACGAATTAAAAGTTTCTGATATCTGATATCTATGTTTCATTACAAAGCTTTGATAAATGGGGTCAGATATTTGTATAAAGAAAATTATTTTAAAACGTAAAACCATTTTACAATTACTTCATAAACAATGTTTCTTGTCTGTTTTGTTTGAAACTTAAACTCATACGACTTATCCTGACCATCTTTGCAAATTCAGCTGAAAACAGAAGATGCTACTTCTTATAGTTGCACAGAAAATAACGTCATTCTTTCTTTAATAAGATTTTCGAACATCCATGCTAGTAGATGAAAATAAATACCATTTAATGAGTAAACAAAGCGTCTACTAAAATATTAGTATACATTAAAATAACGTTTAAAGTGTTAAAAAATATAACTTTAACTACTTAAACCAATATACAGGGTATCCTTAAAGTCTGGACACAGGCAAACATTTTTTTCAAGAAATTAAATTTCCAACAAAATTTTATCGAATAGGAATATTAACAAATAACATCTTCAAAATGGTTTCCACCATTTGCGATGCAAATGTCGATGCGCTTTGCAAGACTCACGTGAACTCGATGCAAAAACTCCACATTACCGTCGATTTTAGCACATTTTCTCTTTATGCGTTTCATGTACGATTTTCATTGACTATACCTTCTCCTTTGGCATACCCCAGAAAAAGCAGTCGATTCTTTCTTCTTTCGAGGAAACTGTTTAATCTGCGGGTTCAAAAATGCAGTTAATGTGATTCCCTATGTCTAGACATTAGGGACACCCTATATATATATATATATATATATATATATATATATATATATATATATATATATATATATATATACACAAAACACACACACATATATATATATATATATATATATATATATATATATATATAGGTAACTACAGTCGTCTCGGTTTTCCCTGACGATCCGCTTAGGTGAAACCTTGGTAGGTTTGTCTGACTCTATAGGTTTGACTATATATATATATATATATATATATATATATATATATATATATACAGTTTGTTGGTATTTGTTTCAGATTCGTATTTAAATTAAGTCAAATCCAGAATCTCTTAGCTTTATGCCAT